CACATGCAGGCTCATTAGAGCCGGGTCCTCACTTCTTCAAAGGGCTGTTTCAGGGTTTTGGGGTTCAGTTAGAGTTAGATTGAGGTGAGAAAAAGTTTGCGGTTATTGTACACCTATTGTTGAAAACAAAGGACGAAGAAGTAGAGCTGGCCTGAGGGCTTGTCAATAACGCTGAAGGTAAAAGGATCGTCTACGTTTTCACGGTTTGTTTATTGGATTAAATCCAAAGTGGCAAAAACAAGAAAAAAACTTGTATTTTCGGTTCGTCCTCCTCGTCGTCATTCGGCTGTTCCGGGAGACAGACTTGCAGTACGGACACAGCAGAAGAGGTGAAATACTGCCCCCCTAATTGTTTGGAGCATGCGTCCATGCATTTCACATTGCACCTTTAACCCAGACCTCCACTTTTTCAATTACAGTCCTCATTCATGCGACCGCAAGAGGTCACATGTCAGGAAAACAAACGGTAAACATATACTGTAGCTGAGTGTTGAACAAGCGACTAACGCTGTTGCTTTTCTGGACATTCCTAAAGCATCTGGAAGGAAAACCTTTGTGAAGATATAAAAAAAAAGTGTTCTTAAAAAGTAGAACAATAAGACCTTTGTCATATACACTTTCTAAAAACTATATCGTAAAATTAAAGACCGAACTAAAGCTTATGGAAGGCTCCCTCCATCCAACTCTGCATCCATCCTGCTGTGCTGCTGACACACGTTCTCAGTCTGTATCTGCACAGACTGCAGACTACACACACACATAAACTGTATATATACCTGTATACGCTCAAACAGAGTCATGAAAGCGTCTTTTGTTAAGAAACACAAATCACACACTCTGCACACTACAGTTGATCGTGGCTTTATAAGGACCGGACTTTCCTGGAAGTCTGTTTCTCGTGAAAGTAATCAATACAAACCACTCTCTCACTTTCTTTTACTAATTTTCTTTGGACGATGAAATCCAAGTGTTGGTTTTTTTCATGGGAACGAGGAGTAAGAAGATATTCTGTGTGTGGACCACGCAGCCCGCAGCACGCATTTAACTCCCGTCAGCCATCGTGATGAACCGCGCAGTGAGGCGAGAACAATGAATACACGCACACACACACACAGTAGGCATGCACAGTGTAGGCACATGCAGGCCGCCTAGCCAAATATGTGTTAGCCATGAGCAGTGGAGGGTTTCACTTTCCAAGAGTACAGTTATTAGTGGATATGTGTATGTCTGCTGTTCTTGGGATGCAGTTCACGCATACACACACACACACACACACACACTTTTATGCATAATTATATTTCCCTTTATCACTGCTGGCTATTGTACAGTAGGTTTAGAGCAGTCACTATGATGTGAACACTACCTGTGCATCGACACTTCTCTAATAAGCTGAATCAAGTCCCTATCGGGTTTACTTTGGAAGCGGTTTCTCGTTCAGAACATTTTCTTGAAAAACTTCACCTCACAGGGCCTGCACGTTCTGGTCGACACAGAGATTCACAGAGAGCGGGTTACTGCTCAGTACAAGGACACAAGCTTGATTTGACTGCACTGCTTTTTTAAGGACAAGCATTCTTGATCTGGTTCCAGGGCCACACACACAATACAGTCTGTCCCCCAATTGCAATCATTTCCTGCTGCAATCATCAGTGAAAAAAGAAAAAGCCTGCCCTCCTCTTAAAGGCAAAGTCCACTAAATACACGGATGACTCTAAAGGTATGATTCACCTATCTGGACAGTTGTTGCAAAAGCATTCATAAGGAAAGCAGTCTGGTAAATGTTATGGTCAAGCATGATGAAAACAGTGATTAGACCGTGTGAGGATCTGAATCGGACCACGTGGGTGAAGACAAACTCAGGCTCCAGGTTCAGTTGAATGAAATCACTGAGTGCATCTTTACTGGGACGGCTCTGTGTGGTAATGACTAGCAGCCAAACGGTAATGGCTCGTAATGTTCCGGGAAAAGTAGGCCAGCAATTCACTTCTTTTTAGTACACGGACAAAAGTTCAAACCCCATTTGCCGTTTTATGTTTTTTTATTTTTTCAGTTTTGACTGATTTTGATGAGTTTAGCTTCATGAACAGACTTTCATATTGTTGGGAGAGAAGATGTAGCCTGTGACATCTAAAACCAAATACAGATTTATTTGTTGCTTTGTTTAAAGTTACTACAAGGAACTATTAACTGGTTATGAAACAGTCTCAATGTAATACGGGAGCCTATGTGTGTGTCCATAAGCTAAACAAAACCATCAGTGAGGATATTGGCATTTTCTATACAGTAATGTTTCATATCATTGGGTCTGACAGCACAATGTGATGTGCTCATGAAGACACGACCACTTTTTTCCACAGGAGTCGCCAAAATCAACACAGTGAAAGTTGCTTGTAGTAGCTTTAACTGAGATCTCATTGTGAGAGAGACATGCGTGTACAATATGATAAAATAACACAGTATAAAACATATCAGAGTTCTGGTGCTTGGTATTTCCATTTAAGCTAATATTCTACTTTCTCAACTACATTTATCCAACAAATGTAGATACTATGTATTAGTACATTTGTTTCCTTTTACTTTATTTAGACCTTACAAATGTTCTTGTTACATTTTCATGCATTTTGCTCCCTTCTTCCTGTCTTTCTTTACATTTTCCTTTGGTCCTTTCCTTTCTGTCTTTTTTTTTCACATTCTTTCCTTATTACTTTGTCCGGTCTGATTGTTTGTCTTTCCTCCCCTATTTTCTTCTTACTTTCTTTGTCCTCATTTCCTTATGTCCTTATTTTTATTGTCATCTCTTTCTTTTTTCCTGTCTTCCTTTTCTTCCTTCTTCCCTTATCTGTGTGTGTTTGTATTGTTTTATTATCTCTCTCTCTCTGTCTCTCTCTCTCTCTCTCTCTCTCTCTCTCTCTCTCTCTGTGTGTGTGTGTGTGTGTGTGTGTTTGTGTTACACAGCGAAGAAAGACAACATATGAGTTAATAGTTTTGGGGTTACATAAGACGCAAGTTGAGACTTGTTCTACATATATTACAGCATGGTGGCACAGAGAGGGCACATGTTTAATCATACACACATACAATAGTTAGATAAACCATCAAGACGTTATGGCCAGTGTCGGGATCATCTTGGTGTGTATCTGTAGAACATGGATTGTGTGTGTGTGTGTGTTAGCAGTGAGAAGCCAGTATCTGTACATTTGTAATTACACTCAGGAAATGTTTATTCATGTTTGATTGGGTGGGACCAGCCGGGACTCTGGGTACATTTAAACAAACTATTTCGACATCCTGTTTAAAGTCGCTTTAAAGCGAGAGAGAGAGAGAGAGAGAGAGAGAGAGAGAGAGAGAGAGAGAACTGGCTGAGGTGGATTGGCGGCCACTTATGTAAGACCCGATCCTGAGGCCCTTTTAAACCGATACTGAAGAAGAAACAAGGAGCCCAAAGTCAGCTTTAAAAACATGTGAATGCAGTCGGATCGACCACTAAGGCCTCCAGTTGCAGTGGGTGAACAGAAGAATTAACTTAGTTGAATTCAGGTCAAACTAATCAGTAGGAGGCAATGTCGTAAATGCAAGTAAGAGCAATCTCTGGCCTGAGGAATTTCTGGCAGTGAGGTATACAGATTAAGATTTGGGAAAAAGAAGAAAGTGACTTTTCAGATATGCAATTTACTTTATTATCCAACAACTGTCCTGTCTGCTTATTTGATCCATAAAAGTGACTTTCTAGGACATATATGAGCTCCTATTAATCTGACATGACATGTGCCATGATAGAACATGGTTTCATATGGCTCACCCCTATTGTTGTCTGTTTTTCTTTGTTTTTAAATTCATGTTAAATTCAACCTTCCACAAATGTCGGTGTCAAACAGAGGAACTTCGCCTCGCTCGTGGTTGCTTTTTACCGTTAGTCACCTCTGTTCAGAATGGTTTTCATCAAAGGAAAAGCAGGAACAAAGTGCAGGATTACAGGGATATTTTCCCGTAATGACATTGTGAGGAAACAGGATTGTTGTAACCTTAACCATAAAGGTGACCGTGTCATTCTTGATATTGTTTAGTTAACTGGAATTCTGTCTGTTCAGGAAACCACTTTCTTTCTTGCTGCTCTGTTTCAAAGAAACGGTAAAAGTTCATCTTTTTCTTCTTACCTGTAGTGCTATTTATCAATCGAAACTGTTTTGGTGCGAGTTGCCTAGTTTCGGACATGTAGAGATGTCTGCCTCCAATATAATGGGACTATATGACTCGCCAAAAGAAATACATTTGAAAACTCAACAGCAATGTCTCTTTTCAGAAATAATGACCCGGTTACTCAGGATAGTCTCACAACAAGTCTATATTTAAGATTCTGAAATTTCCAAAGCTATTGTGACTGAGATCAATTTCTGGTTGTATGATACTCGAGACTGTCCACTAACGAGGGCTGCACCACAACGGAGGTTTAATGTAGAGAACGGATTAATGTGAGGAAGGGGACCATCATACAATGGCTGGAAAGGACTGCTCCTGGTTTCTTATATACGAAGCTGTTTACGTATATCACAATCCCCCCCCCCCCTACACACACACACACACACTATGTCTCTCTCTTTCTCTCTTTTATTTCCGATATGAAGAAAACAAGTTGGAATTCAGGAAGGAGGCCATTTTCCCCCGGAGCCCATTTTCAGTACCAAGAGAATAGAACTCGGAGGGTGCGGTTTGTGTGTGTGTGTGTGTGTGTGTGTGTGTGTGTGTGTGTGTCACAGGAAGTGGAGACAATCTATGTTGGCCACATAGTCATGTGTTTTATGTGTTTTCACACCGAGGGTATTCTGTGAGACATAAAAAGTTGTTTTGTGTAGTTAAATGTTGCTTAAATTCAGACTTGACGGGCAAAGTGTGTAAAATGTCTTATTGTGGTTGTGACTCTCGAGTGTTATCTTAACATGCAGAATATGTTGATTCCTCTGTATTCATTAAAAGTGAGTGCCTCTCTCTTCCTGTCTCTCCAGGACCGACTGTTCTTCGTGATGGAGTACGTTAACGGAGGCGACCTCATGTTTCAGATTCAACGATCGAGGAAGTTCGACGAGGCGAGATCTCGTTTTTACGCGGCCGAGGTCACGTCCGCTCTGATGTTCCTGCACCGGCACGGAGTCGTATACAGGTAACCAGTTGCCACATTAAAGAGGGCGTCGCTATATTCTGCTGCACTTTTGCGCCCTTCAGGACACACATTTGCACATTTGAGTTCCAGAAGAATTGTTTGCTCAGACTCTGTTTCTTTAATCGTTTCAAACACTGTGAAGCATCAACGTTCTGCTTATTTGATTTGGAGCTTCCAACTGGGATCCGAGTCTCCATTACAAGGCATATAAGAGAACTCCCAGAGAAAAAAGAAAATAAACATTAAAGGAGTACTTCACCCACAAAAGGAGCAGCTGTATATCAATTACTCACCCTGTTACCTTTAATTCTGGAAGAAAACTGTTTTTCTTGCATGTCTGAAGGGTTTTTAAAAGATGTTTGGGAAGTAGTGAACATGTGACTGGATAAATGAGACGTGGATTGTTCTGCACAAGTTATTTATAAAGATGTTTTATAACGTTTTTATAAAGATTTTTTGATATAGTTTTGCTGTCGTTAAATGTTGTCCCCATTTACTTCAATTCATCAAGACTTCTCTGTTCCTCATCGTGGAGAGAAACAGTTTTCTTCAAAAATTCAAAGTACCATGAGGTGAATAACTGATACGCAAAAAAGGTAATTTTGTGGGTGAAATTGTCCTCTAACTGAAACTCCAAGCAGAGAAACATTGTAAATGTAAACTAAAGTTTTAAATACAAATGAAAATGCTTTTTATTTGGCCTAAATCTCCCAGTTGATTAACAATATGAAATATTCTGTACATGTTGAACAATAAGCTCGCATTGGTCTTGTGGAACTGAGTCTTAATGTAGTTTTAAAATGTGTCATGTCTATGCTAACGTGTCTCTGGTGGAGGTATTTATCTTTATGTTTTTTTGTGTTGAAACCCTTCAGGAAACTGAACACAAAGCGATGTGTGTTCTTGTGTTCAATCATACTGAAAAGCAACTAAATGTTCTTTTCAGATTAAATATTTTCTTTGGTTATGAAACTCAAACTCGTTGACCCCGAAGTGACCTGAGTTGGTTTACTTCAGGTGCCATTATCTGGACTCCTCAGTCATAATATCATTGTGAGTCAATAGCAAACACACAGCTGGTCCCACAAAAGCAGCACGCTGCTCGAATCACAACACCATTGTGATGGACGGAGGCTCTGTGCAGGTTCAGGCTGTTTGCTCCCAGAAATAGCTTTGATGGAAGGTCTTCTTTCCGGTGTTTTCTCCTCACGAATCGGTTTGATTTGGTGTTTGGATTCTCTCGTCATGCAATGTGTGGGTTTCACGCCGCACCGTCTGTGCCATGTTAGGCCAGCGAGGACTGTTGAGGCTGTGTGTGTGTGTGCGTTTTTGTGATTGTGTTTATGTCATCACGTTTCCTGTTCACCTGTTTTATACTCTCACCATCAAGGTATTTACCAAATACACAAACACGCACACATTTCAGTACTTTTGGACCCTTGTTGACATATTGCGTTCCCTTAGCCCTGACCTCAACCTAAATCTAACACTTCAAAACCAAGACAAGCGGAGCGCTTGAGACAGACGAGGGGATACAGGTATATTCACACAGAGTGTGAGGAAAATAAAGAATGTTCTGAACATTAAAGCTTGTGAATATGTTCTAGAAACCCAAAATACAAGCATGAACCTGAAAATGAGTATCATATGTCTCCACTAAAGGGACAACTGTCTCAGTCTAATACCTAACTGAGCCTTGCTGAAGAGTCAGCAGACCAAAACTGTAGACAAACATTATTATCACTGGATTGAACTAAATATAATGTCCTTTGACCTTGTAGTACCCGATAAATACTAAATACATTACCGAATGAGCAGGTGTACGATATAATGTGAGGACGTCCCAGAAGCAGAAGTCTGTAATAGTTAAATGAACTGATTCATTTGTTGTTATGAAACACTCATTTTCGATTGACTATTCACCTTTTTTTTTTTGGTCTTTGTTGAAATGATATATTACATATTAAAGACAAATTCTGTTTTGACATGAGACGTGGTTGTTTTGTCCCAACTAATCCCAGTGTTAGCTGTGTGTGTTGGTGCACCTGCTTTTACAAAGTCATGAATATTCCGAATTCTGGCACAAACACAGACAGAGTGTCCCCAGAATGAGGAAACAGGCTGGGATGTGATGGAAGACAAAATAGTGTATGTGTTCAGTAGTTAAAGGTTTGTTAAACGTGACAGAAGATGGTATATTCTTCTTCCACACTGCATATTTGTCCTTTAATCACTCTCTTGTATGTCAGTAGGATTCCCACGGGTGCTTCAGTTCACACAGTGCAAACACGAGGAGAACATGTGAACTGAAAGGCAGAGATAGTGATGGAAATTCATCAAGAGAACTGTTTCTTTATTGTTACACAACAGCTGAAAGTGGCTGCTATCTTAATGTGAATCTAGTTGCCTAGTTTCTACAACAGTCTTTCCCCCGAGGGTTTAATAAAGCCTTATTTTGTTTTATCTGATGAGAATATTGCCAAGTATGTTGTTTTTTTTGTTTTTTGGCCTTCAGACAGCATTAAATATGACACAAATCAGGTGACTCACAACAAACAGTAACAACTTTCCCAACGCCAATCAAAGACTGTCAAAGTGAGAACTTTTCATCCCCTTCAATCCAGCTGGTGAGAAACCAAACTCCAACGTTTTGCAATTTATTTTTGGCTCTAAGTAATTAAAACAGTTTAATGAGCCTCAAATATTACATTTGCAAACTTTAACTAAACATGCAAGGATTAACTTAAACTTAACTTAAAAAACTATGCTTACAAAACACAACCGTTGTTAGGACTGAAAAACACGAGAAGCCCTTTTTTTATTGCAGGGACCCGATAACTTCAAACCAGAGAAGAATACAGAGAAAAACACAAATCCATAAACTTTCTATGTAATAATCTGTAAAAAAAAAAGAAGCTTTTAGGGCTTTCAATGTACTCCATGTTGTTCACTCACTAGATGAAACTGGGGAATAAAAAGGTCTCACTAATTAATTTAGGATAGCTTGCGAGGTTGCAGTCTAGTGTATTTTTTAAAAAGAAGGGAGACCTGTAGAATGCTTTAAAGACACACATAGCTTGAAACACACAGAAGATGTTGCAAGTTAAAATCACTAAAATATTACATAACTGACTTCCATCCTGCCGTTTCATTTAGTTCTTTTGGCTACATGGTCTCAGAGAGTCCAGTCCGGCTGGTGCCTGCTGGACCATGACTCATTGTTTCACACAGTTTCTGTTACAAGGATGTTAATAATGAAAGGGGGGGGGGGGGTTATAATCACACGATTTGTATGTGTATGTGTTTCTTTGAGTTGGCACCATTGAATCCTAATCAGTCATCAAGGTTAGAGCCAAAAGCCCGCAGCGTTACTGTTTTGTGATTGTTTTTTTATTGGTGTTGGCTACATAACCATGTTTTAAAGTGATACTCCACCCAAAGTCTCTGACTCTGAGTCAAACACTCCTCACTTGAAATGTGAAGGGTGTCTTATTACCAGAAGTACCTTTAATTGACCCCGGCCTCTGTTTTCAAGTAGGAATAGAGCTAACAGAGGCTGCTGGATGCATACCACTTTATCTAATTTCTCTTCTAGAAGGGAACCCTGGAGGACACTTT